TTAATTAAATAATATAATATTTTTATAATATTTCAAATTTTTTTCTTATTTTACAAGATAATGACTCTGTTGATTTAATTAAAAATAAAAATAGCATATTTTATATTTCCTAATTATTTATTTTTTTAATTATATACCTAAATTTTAATTCTAAATTTCAAATTCCCCTACAATTCTACCTTTATAAGTGAGTTGCATTATTCTTAAAACCCTACCTTCTTGAGTGGCGTGCACTTGCCAAGGTTGTCGTCTTCATTTTGCTGGGTTTATTCTTAAACACATAATATAAGTGTTGATATCATGGGTTAATAATCCAGAATCAAACTTTTTGTTTTTTGTTTTGTATCGACACGTAATTCAGGGTGTCAGCACTATATGTTCAGCATCTAACATTCAAGTTTCTTATTTTATTTCAAATCCTACTTTTGTTTCAAATCCTACTTCTATTCCAATTAGGGTTTCTAAAATCTTATAAATACCCATCCAAATTCAGAATTAAAAGAGCTTGGGAGGCTAGTGACAGCCCTCTTTTGGGTATTCTTAGAGATCAAGATAAAGATTTAAGAATTTGTTTATAATTTCTAAATCTTTTCAATTTTTACAATTGTAAAAGAGTATAAGAATTTGTTTATAATTTCTAAATCTTTTCAATTTTTACAATTGTAAAAGAGTATAAGAATTTGTTTATAATTTGTACTTTTTTTAATCATGTTTCTATTTATTTAGATATTAACGTATTTTATATTTATGTTTTTTACTTAATATTAAATTCATTTACATTATCTCATATATTTAATAATGTTAAAAATCGATCAATCCGACCGAACCACACCGATTCGATTTAAATTGGATTGGTTTGATTATCATATAATAGTAGATTGGATTAATCTAAAAATTTTACTAACTGATTAAATTGGATTGGATTAAAAAATGTTAAAATCCGAACCAAACCACACCGCGAACATTCCTACCATTAACTTTGTAAGATGGCAATTAATCTTAAAAGAATAAATGTTCCTCACTTTTTAAGAAGTAATTTTTTGAATTTATTTTATTTTTATAATTTATTCAAGGAATAGACATCACTCCCAATTAAATGTTTTGAATTTTTTTCACAACCCTAATAATCTCTGAGTTAATAGACACAAGAAATCATGATTCCAGTGATCTCTCCTAATGAAGTAAATCCAACATGAACTTAATTAGAGAGAATTTTTTTTGTTGCGCATCTGATCTGAATAGAGAAAATGTTGATCAAGGAAAAAACTATGAAACTTTCTCTAATTTTTTAAGCGGTTTTTTTCAAAATGAGCGTAGCATTGGATGCTTACTGTTAAAGATAGGGACGGAATTTCTAAGAATTTTTAAAACCATCAAATTAAAATACAATGGATAATTTATTTATTTGTCACGCCATTTTTTTTTTTTAATTTATTAAACCGCTAAAGTTTTCTTCAAGTTCTGTCTAAGTTGTGTTATATATAACTCGAAACTCCCCAATAAATGGGATGTTTATAATTTTTTTTGTCTAATTTCTATGTTTAGAATGTAAATTAAGAGTATAATAAATATATTTTTTATAATTAATTTATATAAAAAAATTTATAAAA